AAGGCCCTGGGACTGCAGTCGAGGGAAGCGAGGTTTCCCTGAGTCTCCAGGGGCCTCGAGGTAGATGCTGTTAGCTCATTGCTACGGGGGCCCCCTTTCTCCTCCTCCTGCCCCTGGGTCTCTACCTCATCGTCCATTGGTTCTTCCAGCTCTTCTGCTGTCGCCTCCATTGGTTCTTCCGGCTCTTCTGCTGTCACCTCCATCGGGGCCGGCACTTGTAGCGAAGGCAGCCTCACGGGGCTTCTGTGGGCCAAGTGCCTTGCAGACAGCACGACTTTCTTCCTTGAGGGTGGCCTCCACACCGGAGGAGGTAGGGCCCGCCGTAGGGCGCTCCAGGTTGGGGTGAAATTCCTTCCGGATGCAAAACGGGGGCTGAAGACCTCCGTGATGACTCAAAAATCGAGCAGGGTATCGAGTTCCCAGTTGAGGCACACACGCGGGAGCTGCAGGGTGAACCCGGCCAGCCAAAAAGTTCGAAGGAACAAGAGGAGACCATTGGGGTTGCCACTGCTGCCGGGGCCTGCGGTGGAGCCGGTAAAAAAAGCTCCTGCATTTTCCCATATTGTGGGAAATTCCCACAGACGAAAGGTAAAACATCAGTAACAGACAGTATACGCATGAGTCTACTACACCTGAGTGTGTACACCCACTAGTCTGTGGCCAGCTGGGCGGCTGGGCTCTTATGACATCACAGTGGGGCTGGTGACCGAGCAGGGTGTGGGGCAGTGCACAGGAGCCCAGCAAGAGCACCTACAAGTTGAGTCAAAGGGCACAGGGTCTTTGACTCCCCACCCGTCTAGCTGGACTCTAGCCTCACGGATGTCCTGCTCCTGGGGGCAGGTGTGTGGCCCTGGATGGGCCCCACCGTGGGGCTGTGGGGCATGCATGGCTGATCTGCCAGAGCCCTTCCCACCTGGTGCGTGGCCCAGGCGCTGGCTGGCACCCAGTGGCCATGTCTTGGCTGGCCTTGTCCCCTGGGTTACAGCTCTGCTGGAAGCAAAGCTCAGGACTAGCCAGATCCTGCCAGGCTTCCCTAGGACCTCAGCACCTCTCTGCAGCCTGGAGCCAGGCCCGCCTTCTCCGTTGTGGTCCTGGCCTCTCCAGGCAGATTTCGTGCCCCGGCTTGACTGGCTGCCGCCCCTTACCACTTCCCTTCCTGGCAGGCAGAGTCTCCCCACAGCTCCAGATCACCCCACACAGAGGAAACTGAGCGCCAGCACCTGCCCCAAGAAGGGCTGATGAGCCAGGGCCGGGGCCTATCTCCCACAGAGCCCTGGCCCTCTCCTGAGCCTGTCCTCGCCACTAAGCCTGATGTTGCTTTGTGCCCTGAAGCCTCCTGCCCACCCAACAGGTGGTTTGCGAGCTGGGCATGGAATCCTCTGTGCGCTCTCACCCCACCTGCCCTGCCCTGCCCTGCTATGCCCTGCCCTGAGGGACCATGACATTTCCCATCACAGGAGCGTCTCTCATTGCTTAGGAAAAGTGGAAACCAGGGAAGGAAAACCAGAGAATCTTTCTCTGTAGGGTAGGGGTGAAGGTGGGTCGCTGGGGAGGTGGGGGGAGTAATAGGCCCACACCCCAGTGAGGATAAGATCCATCACCCGGGGAGTGGAGCTGGGGCTCAGCCACGTGGCACTAGGGCTCTTCAGATGAAAGAGCATTTTTTCCATCTGAAGTGCAATGTCAAGCAACTGAGCCTTGGGCATCCCCTTTGGGACTAGGGACTGGGGCCCAGGCCTGCATCACATAGCTGGGGCCTCCTCCTCACTAAGGGCTCCTGGGTGCAGGGGAGGGGCAGTGGGAGGAGGAGGCTGAAGCACAGTCCCTCCCTCAGCTCCAGCCCCGGGTCCCTCCACCCCACTGGGTCTACCAGATCCTACTCCAGAAGCTCACCCTGTCAGAGACAGGCCTGGCTCCATTTTCTCTTCTGTCCCCTGGGACACCAGTGTCACTTTGTTCTCCTTGTCCCCTTAGAGATCTAGGCCTGAGCCCACCCGTTTCATAGCCTTGGAAAGTCTGAAATTCTCCCAGGAATTCAGGTGGTTTCCTAAGGATTATTTCAGAATCTCCTCTGTTCTCGTCATTTCCCCACACCCTACACGTTTTCTACTTTCATCAACCCGGGATAGAGCTTTGAAATTCACAAAACTAAAAAGTATAATGAAAATACAAATGACAAATGACTATGTTTTTTTAATTAGGACCATAATTTTAACCACAGAAACACAAACACTTTGACAAATTATGTTCAATACAAGAATGAAGCCTTTACTTATTGTCTTTAGATCTTTTGTATGTTGCCCTGATCCAGTTCTTCTTACTCTGCCCCAAATACAGTCCTCACTGTCCTGGGTTTTGGAACATGTGCGCACCCACCATAAGCCAGGAGTGGCTTGAGACGATCCGAGGTCCAGCTCCTGTGAGTGGAGAGCGGGTCTGGGCACCCCATGCTTGGCTCCAGTCCAGCGTTCAGCAGCCTCTTCTGATCTCACTCATGTCTGTTTGCTTCACACCATGTCCTGTCCTTCACCTCCTGCCCGCTCCAGACCCCTGGAGACTGATGTCTGGCCTGTACCTGGTAGGAGAGATGCTTTGAGCCCTGGAGGAGGTGTTCTCATTATACTATTAGACATCTTTTGGGCAGCAGAAACTCAGGATTAGAGACTGCACTGTTTAATCACTATGTGATAAATGTACGTAATACTTGAAAAGTGGCCTTGAAAATCATGTGTATCTTTGTCATGCGTTCTATATAGCCTCAATGGGAGTGAGACCATCTGAATTTATTTGGGTCTGTTCTCATGAATGTGCGCTTCAAGAGCATATCTTCTGTCTACAGTCTCTTCCTTTATGATATTGTCACTAGGGAGGCGTGACAGTCCCTGACACTCCCTAATGTGGTCAACTGGGTTAACTGGCAAGAGTGGAGACCCCAGGGATGCCTGCTAGGATCATTGAGAAGCATGGGGGTCCTCATGCTTCATTTGCAGGGACCCTAAGCCTGAGAAGTGGGTCTCGCCTTGACTACGTGATTGGGCTTGGGCACACAAGGAATCACCTGCCATCAGGCCACTGCCAGCTCAGTAGGTGCACTCTGTGTGACGAACAGGGACCAGAGAGCAGAGGCAACGGGTCTCATTAATTCCACATCTAGGGAAAAGGTTTGTTTCAGGTTCCATTCCTCCTCAAACCTGATGCTCTCCTTTCCGGATAAACAAGAGGAGCGCATAGGTGTGGGGGTTCCCAGGCTCTGGTGGACTGTGTCTCTGTCTCTATCCATGCGCCTCTCTTTCCTCCTCCACTCTGTGGGCACAGCTCTCAGCTCTTGTTCATCCAATCACCCTTCCACCTGCCTGCTGCAAGGAGGACGAGGCTTCCCAGAGCCAGCCTCGTGCTCCTGCTCGTTCGAGAAAAATGAGCTTCAAGGCCCTACATTGACACCCCCACCACCACACACACTTCAGACACAGTGGCGCCCACAACAGACCCCTGGGGGCTTCTGTGGGACACCACACATACTTCGGAAGAACTGAGCCTCTCATCTCACCTGGGCCGACCTGGGAGCCTTCTTGTGCCTTCCTGCCTTTGTCATTCATCTTTTACTACAGACAATTGCCGTTCCTCCTGGTTCATGTAGGACCATCCTTCCTGCGTTCCGCAGGCTCCTGATGCTCAGGAAGCATCTCCCGGGTCCTGGGAATCTTTCTGGGCTCTGGTGTGGACTGGAATCGCAGCTTTGGTCTCCCCCACATTTCCACTACAGGGAAGTGAAGGAAGGAGGAAGAATTGAGTAGAAAATGTGAGCGAATTTCTCTTTGGAAGAACAGCTTCCCCTCCCCACCATAGTCTCTGATCACTCCTTAAGCATTTAAAACGAACAAATACACCTACACAGACATTTCCTAGTATGAAGCTTAAGTTCCTGGGAATATCTCTCGTGTTGCATACACATGAAATTCATGCACCTCAGCTGCACAGCCTTATCACAGTCAATGGCTGTCTGCCTCAGGAGAGGCCTTGAGGTACATTTCATAGTGTGTGCATGTGTGTGTGTTCATACTTACAACTTTTATTACTTTTTCTCCCAAAAATATAAATGAAAACCTGCTCTTCATTTCATTTCTTTGCCGAACGTTGTCATATGAAAATCAGTATCAACCCTGTAGTCCCAGCTACTCAGGAGGCTGAGGCAGGAGAATTGCCTGAACCCAGGAGGCGGAGGTTGCGGTGAGCCGAGATCGCGCCATTGCACCCCAGCCTGGGTAACAAGAGCGAAACCCCATCTCAAAAAAAAAAAAAAAAAAAGAAAAAGGAAATTATAATATATATATATATATATATATATATATATATATATATATATGAAATTTAGGCCAGGTGCGGTGGCTCACACCTGTAATCCCAACACTTTGGGAGGCTGATGCGGGTGGATCACAAGGTCAGGAGTTCAAGGCCACCCTGGCCAAGATGGTGAAACCTCGTCTCTACCCAAAATTTTTAAAAAAAGAAATTAAGATTTAACTAACGCTTGCTGGTCCTACTTCTCACCTCTAACGCCTGCTGGCAAGAGGTTGCTCACTGCCAAGAAACCACTACCAGGTCTCCCCAAATCTTAAACTTCTTTTAATTAGTCATACTAGAAATAGGTCATTAAAAATATAACTGAAACCCCTCAGACAAAATACTAAAACACTAAAGCAGAGCGATTATCTGTAAAACTGCCCCTCCCTCTCCCGTTGTGGGTCTACCTGAATGCCCTCAGCATCCTCTCCAGCCACACTCACCACTCACTCTGCCCAGGGCATCTCCTATCACAGTCCCACAGAGCCCCCCAGTGAGAGTGTAGGTGGGGTCCATACTTAAAAGTCTTTATGTGAAGGGTCCAGGAGCCTCCTAGCCCTGACCGGTCTAACGTAGGAAGTCTTGCCTCAAGAACCTGCCAGAAAAAGCTCTTACCATGGTATAATAGCCATCACTGGCCAAGATGATCACATCGATCGGCGAGGTGTGATTAGCCACACAGATGCCACCGTTTCTCGGTCTGTTTTCCCTGGGTTTAAAAGGTATGCAAAACAACCAAAATTAGTGTGAACACTTCAAAGCTCAGAAGCAACCTCCTGTTGGCCAAGCATAGGTGGGTGGTGTCCCGCCAGCGCCACCTCCCTTCATATGGGTACAAGGCACGCTCACCTGTCGTGGTAGGTGATGATGGCTGTCAGCGCTCGCACACAGATCCGGTGACACATTGAGTGAACATGTTTACTCACGAACTCCTTAAACCTGCAACAACAGGACAAGGATTCTGGCTGTTATTTTACATACAGTAAGACAGAAAGAGTTGCTGACCTGAACAGCTCAGCAGTCCTTTAGGATGGCAAAGTGCTTTTACAGACATAAGCACATACAGGAAAGCCTGTGATGCAAGAGCACCTTTATGTTCACACATGAGCCACGAAAGAGGAAACAGGGACACTCACTTACATGCACCCAAGTCAGCTGGTGGAGAATTCACAGCCTAGAATCTGGCATCTGGAGACCACAGGTGGGCGGAACTCCGTTCCCCACGTCAACACCCAGGGGCAGGCCCAAGGCCAGAGGCCAACCACCGCACCAGCCCGGGCAGAGGAAAGGTTTCCAAGTCCCAGAACTTCCTGAAGGGAGGAAAATATTCTTCATAAACAGACAAAGCCTCCCGACATTTCAGACCATTTTACAAACAGTATCGTCTCACCACTTTATCCACACAGTCAAATGCTCAAAACTAAACAAGCTATAAAATCTCAGTTTCAGACTCCAAATGTTTGTGGCTTCTCTCTTTTGTCTTTAAAATGGGAAAAATGTGAGGGCTGAAGAGCAAAAAGAACACAGTCATAGATCAAAATCAAAAAAGTAAAGACTTAACTGCTGATGCCACTGTTATCATTGTGTGATTATTGTTCTTATTTTGAGACACATTCTCGCTCTGTCACCCAGGCTGGAGTGCAGTGGTGCAATCTCAGCTCACTGCAACCTCTGACTCCCAGGTTGAAGGACTGTCCTGCCTCCACCTCCCAAGTAGCTGAGATTACAGGTACCTGCCACCACGCCCAGCTAATTTTCGTATTTTTAGTAGAGATGGGGTTTCTCCATGTTGGCCAAGCTGGTCTCGAATGTCTGACCTCAGGTGATCGGCCCACCTTGGCCTCCCAAAGTGCTAGGATAACAGGCGTGAGCCACCATGCCCGGCCACCAGTGGGTTATTTAATCCATCTGAGATTCCACGAATTTGGCTGCGTACAAAGAAGTGGCCTGGCCTTTGATATGTGAGCACCATTCCCAGAATGAACTGCCCTTTAGGCGTGGACTCCCATTCTCTACTCACCTCCCATTCAGCAAGTATCCCACCACAGTTGTGCCCACCACCAGAAGGCTAATCCCTGTGAAAGCCAGCGCTATCCTGTAAGTACAGAGCCGAAGGTGTGAACATCAAAGTGGGCATCACAAAAACCACCCCCAAGACCTGATCACTCGGGACCTGGACCAGAGTTCACCTAGAAATGCGAGCAGGCCTATCAGAACCAGAGATCCTTTCAATTCCAGCTGACAGTGCGCTGTGGGTCTGGCTCTCGGCTGCCAGCATCTCCTGAGGCCTCAGGCAACTGGAAGGCTGGAAAATCCCTAAGCTGGCCGTTCTGCTGCAGGGCTGCTCCCTGCTGCCCTCCCCTTCCCTTTGGCTAGAAACCCCAGTGGAAGCACAGCTTCCCTCTGAAGCAAGAGGAGGTGAAGGCTGAAGGTACCAGCACCTGGTGAGACACACTCAGAACAGCACACGGTACAGAGAAGCTGAGAGACCAATACCGCCTCTGTACTCGAGAGGCAAGCTTCAGGAAAGAATGAGCCATGCCCAGGGAGGAGTGGCCAGAAAGCACACGATGTTCCTGTCTGTGTGTTTGCTATCATCTAGACAAGCAAGCTGTCTTTAAGAAATGCAACTATTTCTATCTGATTTGCAGAGCATCCAAGGGCCTCTGAAAGAGAATGACTGGTGTACCCCTCCAAGGAGTCATGTGGCCTGGCCAGTGACAGTCATCCCCTCCTCCTTTCTAAAACAGGAACACAAGCAGAGCAGGCAGGTGGCCGTGCACCAGGATGGGGGGCAGCAGCAAGCCCCGCTTCCCACAGGCCCTGTCTCACCTGAGTGGCAGCAGGAAGCAGTAGCGAATCAGCACTCCTAACCCCCACAGGACCGTGAGCCGAAGGCTGATGGAATGCAAGTTATAATTGGTTCTGCTCAGCAGGTTCCAGGATTCCCGTTCCTCTGCTGAGAATCTTTCTGTCACCTCATCATCCATAATGGTCTCCATTCCTTTCCAGCAGAAGTAGAAAATGTCAGAGAGCGCCAACTCCGGAGTGTTGTCCAGAGCCTTACTACTGCCACTCGACGAATCTTCTTGATCTCTTCTTCTAGTGAAGTGGGATCCTTTGCAATGATTCCTGCAAAAGAATGTGTATTCGTGACAAGCACACTTAAGAAAAGTGGGCTTTTCTTTAGCAGAATCCACTTAGCAAGTTAGGCTAGCCTCCAGATAGAATAGTCACAGCACTCCTCACACTAAATACAAAATAAACACGCACAAAGCACAGTCTCCTCCTCTTCCTCCTCCTTCCTCCATTTTTAGGGGTAATGATTTACCAAGACACACAAATGCTGTTACTCCGGTGGTACTTCCATAAACTGGACATGCATGGCAACTACTGCGTTTAGGTCCAATTCACAAAAGAAAAGTCCATCCTGAAAGTAACTGACAACCATGTCATCATATAAATAACCTAAACTTCCATGAAAACTCAAGGAACCCTAACATGAGGACTTGCTTGTTCCCAGCGTTCCTTGGAGAGGGAAAATATCCCCATTTTAAGGGCAGGAAAATTGAGGAACAATCTACCAGTCTTTGTTGAGATAAGGAAATTTCATAGCATAAATTTTGTTAGGAAATGCATATTATAGTTTTGTAAGAAAGTCTAACCCATAGTCCGAGCAGCCCAGATTCGCATCTGTTAACGGTATGAAAGGCTTTCTGAGGATGCTGCTCTCTCAGAAGAAGAGTAAACTGAAGTCATTCTGGTTTCCCTTAGTATGTCTTTCTTAAACAGCTGTGAATGTTATCTAGATCTTTTATAGCTTGTTCTTATTCACCAACTGGTATACCACTTCTGAGGTCAAAACTTTACCATGTTCCCTAAAATCTACGATCAGAACTTCTCGTCTGTCCCAAATCTCTTTTTAAGAAATGATTTAAGGCATATTCCCTAGTTTTCTTAAATTCTGGAATTTGGTGGAAAAGGTCACATTCGCCCACCCGAACCCTTCATGAATATAAGTGTCTTCATCCACAGCCCTCCTACACATTTCTCTTTCCTGAAGAGGAACACGAAGGCGAGCAGTCACGGGTCAGTGGAAGGCAGTCTGGAGGCAGACGTGGGATTTCCACCTTCAACCCGGGGCTCTGGACAAGTCACTGAACTTCTCTGACCTGCAAGGGCTCAGAAAAAATGAAAACATTGGACAGAGCATTCTGGATGTTCTCAGATTGTTCCAGATGTTCTTATCCAGATCTGAAATACTTTTACACTCTTTCACTCTCTCTCTTTTTTTTTTTTTTGAGATGGAATCTTGCTCTGTCTCCCAGGCTGGAGTGCAGTGGGGCAATCTTGGCTCACTGCAACCTCTGCCTCTGGGGTTCAAGCGATTCTCCTGCCTCGCCTCCAGAGTAGCTGGGACTACAGGCGCACCGCCTGGCTAATTTTTGTATTTTTAGTAGAGACAGGATTTCACCATGTTGGCCAGACAGGTCTCAAACTCCTGACCTCAGGCGATCTGCCTGCCCTGGCCTCCCAAAGTGCTGAAACCAGCCATACTTTTTCTTTTAACCTGTTTGATCACGTTAAGATACGCTTTGCTGCTTTTTCTTCAACTCTATCAGGTGTTTCTTAGTTGAAGACCTTATAAGAGTAGGCTGTGTTCCGAAACAAAAAGTACAGTATGATTTCTAGGGCAGTTTTCATTATGGAACTGAAGCTACTTTTGACGAATAAGGACTCATCTTGCATCAAGCTCTCCCTGAGACAGACGGGAGGGAAAATGCATGGGGTGTGGATGGATCAGGAATAGTCACAGGTAAGTGGCTGAGGAGGCCAGACCTAGCACATGCTGGTTCCCTATTCCATCTACGTCCCTCTGTCTGAAATTCTCCAAAATATAAAGTTAAAAAAAAACAAGCACTCTCTTTCAAAGACTGAAAAATATCCCCGATTGGCATTATTAAAGGATTTTTTTCTACACAGACTTTGGCATGGTATGACTGCTCTTCACACCATTTCCCTTGGATTGAGATATAATCTACAAGATATGAAACTAAGCAGAGCTCCTCAAAGTTCAGCCAGCATTAAGGAAAATGGACCAGAAACGAAATTCCTCAAATGACCTCAAGGTTATCAGAGATGATCCATGGTGATACTTGGCATGGGATGGAACTGATTTCCATCAAGCTACACTGTATGTCTCCTAATAGGCTATTTTCTGCAACTTTTGAACACCTAAACTTTGGCCCTCCCTAACATGGAAAGCGAGGAAACAAACAAGATCCAGTAGGAGGAGGATGCCTCGGAGGGCGTTGAAATAAAAAAGGAATGGCAAGGGATTTCGGGAGTTAAGAAATCCTAAAGAAAGAAAAATGGGAGCATGCATTTGCAAAAAGAGAAGGAAAAGGCATGCATCCCAGGGCAGCCAGAGAACACAGAAAGGGGAATGACAAGGAAAGGCCCTTCCTGGAGCTCTAACGCCCTGCAGCCTCGCCACTCACATTCCCGGACTCCCAGGGCGGGAAGGCCGGGGACACCTGGGACTCGGGGGAGGCGCGGGGTCGCGAAGAGCCGGGCTCGGTGGGCAGTGGAGCCGAGAGGCGGGTGGCCGGGGCTCCGGGCGGGCGCAGACCGTTCCACCGCTAGCTGGGAGCACTCGCTCCACCCGCCGGGGATTCCCGGGGCGCGGCGATGGTCCTCCTGACGCCGGCGCGGCGTCCCGGACCGCAGGCCCCGCACCGCCGCCAGCCCGGCACCCGCGCCCCGATCTCGGCCCCCCGGCGGCCGGGGACATTGAGGGAAAAGGCCAGCTCCCTCCTACTCACCGACCACAAGGCTCGGCCACCGCTTCCTCCAGCTCTCGTCGCCTCCGCGGGCCCAGGCTGAGTCAGGACGTGCGCGCGCCCGCCGTTGTCTACACCGCCCAACGTGACCCGGCGCCCACGGTCGCGCACGCTCCCGCCGGGCGCACCGGCCGGCAGGGCGGTGACCTAGGGAGAGGCGTGTACAGGGTGGCCCAGTCCGCGCTGTGGGCTCGCCCGGGACGCGCGGAGTCGCCCCCTGGCGGGCGAGTGGCGGCTGCCTGGGGAGGGGCGGGGCGGGGCGGGAGAGACCGAGCCCTGGCCGCCCCTCGGCTGCCGCGTCCCTCTCCGGTAAGGGGAGCCCTTCCCCGCCTCAGGGCCGGAGACCGGCTCCCTCCCGGGCCAGAGGTTCGCACGTGTGTTCCGGAGAAGGTGAAGTCAGCCCGGCACCGCGGGAGGAGGCTAGATCACTAAATCACCTGGTCCTCTTGGGGCTGCTGTCGGTGAGCGGCGACATTCTGCCCGTAGAGGACTCGGCTCGGCCTGGCACGCTCAAGATCTGTTAGCTGCCGGTACCATCACCACCATTACCACGACCGCCGTCACACCAGCAGCATCCGTGAGTCTCGCCTACTTTGCTTGTCAAGCAGAGGGCTTACGGCGTGAGTGTAGTCCGCCTTCGCCCTCCCTCGCAGCTGCAACTTTCCAACTTGTACCTCCACGTGGACCTGCTGTCTCTACTCAGGTCTAGCTGGTGTCTGCTGGAGTTTGCACGTGTGTTTCTTTTACCGCATTTCTTTTGACTTCAGACGCCTAACCCAAGCTTATTATCTCCCCTAAAATTGGACCTCCTTAAAATATATATTACCTTTCTTTTTCCTGTTTTTTTTTTTTTTTTTTTTTTTTTGAGACGGAGTTTCGCTCTTGTTACCCAGGCTGGAGTGCAATGGCAGGATCTCTGCTCACCGCAACCTGCGCCTTTTGGGTTCAAGCAATTCTCCTGCCTCAGCCTCCCGAGTAGCTGGGACTACAGGCGTGCATCACCATGTCCAGCTAATTTTTTGTATTTTTAGTAGAGACGGGGTTTCACCATGTTGACCAGGATGGTCTCGATCTCTTGACCTCGCTCGGCCTCCCAAAGTGCTGGGATTACAGGCGTGAGTGGCAAACTTTTTAAGTTGGTATTGTGATTAGCTCCAGTTTACAGATAAGGAAGTAATTTCTGCAAGGCTGCTGAGTTAATAAAAATGCAGATTCTGGACTTGAGCTTCATTTTCTGACTCCAAATCTCGGGATCATTTCATTGTACCCTGCTCCTTGTGAAAACATATTGAAAAAAACACAAAGTACCTCACAATGTAAGGAATTAGGATTAATATTCCGGAAGAAATGTGTGGAACTAAGCATAAATCTTCAGAAGACAGCTGCATGCAGGCAGATCGGAAACCCGAAGGAAACTCCAGAGATTCTCTGATCCTGTCCTTTGCAAATGTTGAGTGAGCAACTGCTTAAACCTTTCAGGACAGAAGAATATCTGTTCATTTTCCTGTCGTGTCTAAGACTAAAGCGTTTACAACCTTCTTTGACAGACCATTCCAGCATTGGGTTTACCTTTTCTTCATGAGGTAACATAGGTCTTTATATTCTTCATAAATAGCTCTAGGACTGGCTTTGTCATTTTACTGACTCTTCTGTCCATGTATCATGTTCTGGGTATGCTGACTTAGGTTAGAAAAGCAGCTTGCTTTTTATAAGAATCCCAGTTTCTTTTCCATTGGTTTCTTCCTATTAGTCACCGAGGCTGGAGTGCAGTGGCTCCATCTTGGCTCACTGCAACCTCTGCCTCCCAGGTTCAAGCAATTCTCCTGACTCAGTCTCCCAAGTAGCTGGGACTACCAGCATGCACCACTACTCCTGGCTTTTTTGTATTTTTAGTAGAGATGGGGTTTCATCATATTGGCCAGTCTGGTCTTGACCCCCTGACCTCAAGTGATCTGCCTGCCTCAGCATCCCAAAGTGCTGGGATTACAGTCGTGAGTCTGAATTTTGGTTTTTCAACATTGATTCTAAAAACCCAACTTGATTAATTCTTTCCCTCTTCCTTTCTTACTTTTTCTCCTGAATTTTTTATCCCACAAAACAAATTTGTTTCTAAAAGCCAGAACTAGATTGGATCATCAGCTCTCATTTATAATAACCATAGGCAAACTGCTGGTCTCCTCCCAGGCAATTGTGACCCACTCCTGGCTGTACTGGTTAATCCACTAAAATTAAGCAGTTTAATTTTAAAGGTCACTGGAGTGTAGCCTAAGGTGTCTTGGGTGGCTGTGAATGACAAGTAGTAAGGAAGGCCCAGGTTCCTATCTGACAGAGGATGGAGCGACATCTATCTAACAGTGTCTTGGGTAGGATGTCCAGGAATCTGTTGACTGGGCCATCCACTGTTTTATCTTCTCCAAAGTCAAGAGGCTTGCCTCAGCCGGGTGCAGTGGCTCATGCCTGTAACCCAGCACTTTGGGAAGCTGGGGTAGAAGGATTGCTTGGGTCCAGGAGTTCAAGACCAGGCTGGGCAACATGGGGAAACCCCAACTCTACAAAAAATACAAAAACATTAGCTGGGCATGAAGGTGCACCCCTATAGTCCCAGCTACTTGAAAGGCTGAAGTGGGAGGATTGACTGAGCCTGGGAGATTGAGGCTGCAGTGAGCCATGATTGTGCCAATGCACTCCAACCTAGGCAACAGAGACCCTGTCTCAAAAAGGAAGGAAGGAGGGAAGGAAGGAAGGAAAGAAAAAAGGAAGGAGGAAAGAAAGGGGCCTGCTTCACGTTCAATAAGTAGTTTTACTCCTCTTTGGATCTTTTAAAAAATGAACAATTGTTTAGCATTGTTCTAAAAATTTGTCTAATTTAAAGAAAGGCCAGGCACAGTGGCTCAAACCTGTAGCACTTTGGGAGGCTGCCAAGATGGGTGGATCACCTGAGGTCAGGAGCTCAAGACCAGCCAGGCCAAGACGGTTGTATTAGGGTTGTCTAGAGGGACACAACTAATAAGATATGTATATACATAAAGGGGAGTTTAGTAAGTATTAACACGATCACAAGGTCCCACAATAGACTGTAAGCTTGAGGAGCAAGGAGAGCCAGTCTGAATCTCAAAACTGAAGAACTTGGAGTCCAATGTTGGAGAGCAGGAAGCATCCAGCTTGGGAGAAAGATGTAGGCTGGGAGGCTAGGCCAGTTTCTCCTTTTCACATTTTTCTGCCTGCTTATATTTGTTGGCAGCTGATTCAATTGTGCCAACCAGATTAAGGGTTGGTCGGCCTTCCCCAGGCCACTGACTCAAATGTGAATCTCCTTTGGCAACACCCTCACAGACACACCCAGGATCAATACTTTGTATCCTTCAATCCATTCAAGTTGACAGTATTAACTAACACGATAGTGAAACCCCCGTCTCTACAAAAAATACGAAAAAAATTAGCCAGGTGTGGTGGCGTGTGCCTGTAGACGCCAGCTACTCAGGAGGCTGAGGCAGGAGAATTGCTTGAACCCAGGGGGTAGAGGTTGCAGTGAGCCAAGATGGGTGCCGCTGCACTCCAGCCTTGGCAACAGTGAGACTCTACCTCCAAAAAATAAAAAACAAAAATGAAAAACATATTTACCTTTTTTTTCCTGTGCTTTCCCTACTTACGCCAATGAAGCCGTTTCTGCATTAGGCCTGTTTTCTAGGCATGTCATTGTTTTGCTCAGTCATTTTACTCCACCATCAAGAAGGAAGCACAGACACTAACATTTTATTGGTAGTTATTTTAGGATGATGAAACATTAGGTGATTTTTGTTTTCTTCTCTCATTTTTTCTTTCTACACTATTGACAATGACATATAAATTTTAGTAATTTAAATAGTTAAAGCTAAAAGCTCTAACAAATATGTGGTTTTAGATCTAGAACAAATTAAAAGACTAATGGAAACGAACAGCCAAAGACACACACACACAGACACACACAGACACACACACACATACAGACACATGCATACACACACACAGATACCACAGACACACACAGACACTACACACACACACACACACACATTTGATAGCATTAAAAGTCAGAAAGAAAGAATGGACTATTCAATAAAAGACACCTGAATGGGCCTGGCATGGTGGCTGAGTTTGAAACCAGACTGGGCAACATAGTGTCTCTACAAAAACCTTAAAAATTAGCTGGATATGCTGGTGCAGCCTGTAGTCCTAGCTATTCAGGAGGTGGAGATGAGTAGATTACTTGAGCCATGAGGAAACGGTTGCATTTCTGCCTGGGCAACAGAGTGAGACCCCTTGCCTCACATATACGTGTGTGTGTGTGTGTGTGTTATATCCAAGCAAGTTGTATGGAAAATGCCACTCTCTGAAGTCTGACTATGAGTCCTTTATTAGCCAGCGACTGAGAGTCAGCTCACGCTCAAAATCTCTTGGCCCAGGGGAAGGGGCTTGATTGATTTTTATACCTTGCTTAAGAAAGGGGAGGGGGTGCTTAGCTGAAGCAGAACAAGGAACGTAGGTAACTAGGAGGCAGGAGGCTCCCAAGATTGTTGATTAACTAAGGAGGGTATACACAAGCAGTTCCCACAATTCCTGGTTACCACGTGGCGGGGGGGCATTTGGTACTTGTCAAACAATCAATCAAGGGGGTATTCACAATAGCAAGTGGGCTTGTCAAGCAGTGTATGGTTACAATGGTTATGTCTCTATAACTCTAAGCACAACATGACCCAGCAGAGGAACATCACCCAGATATGCACTCAAAGGAGAAATGGCAGGAGGGGTGAGGCGGAGGTTAAGATGGAATCTGTCTAGCTACCACAGGGTAGGTTAGCACATATATATATATATGATGGGAATAAAATGGGATGATTAACTATCATATGGAGAAAAGTTCAATTCCTACATCACGCCACATCCCCGAATTAATTTTAGGTAGATTAAATATCTAAATGGAAAAAGCAAAACTAAAGTTTTGGAAGAAAATAGTGGAAACTATATGTCCTTGGGAGAAGACTCCTTAAGTAATATATAAGAATCAAAGACCATGAAAATTGACTATATTCAGTTGACTATTTCTATGGGATAAAAGGCATAATAAGAAAAGCTAGGCCGGAC